ACCGTCTGAACGCGCGCCCGCGCCGCCCGCATGCGCCTGATGTTCGCCGAATTCCGCTCCAAGGGCGGCCCCTTGCCGGACGCCGGAGCGGGACATGATCGAGGGCTGGCCATGAGCTGCGGCGAGAGCAAGGAGGTGGAAGGTAACGAGAGGGGCGTGCGCACGCGTGCGCGCGGGTGCGCGGGGGCTGCGCGGCGCCTCTGCGGCTCCGGCGCTCCGCGATCCTGGGGCGAGGCGGGGGCCGCGGCGGAGCGGGGCGGGGGGCTCTGCGTGGCGGTCCGCGGACGGTTGCCCCGCCGCGCGCGCCGCTGGCTCGGCCTTTCCCGACGAGCTCGGCCGCTCCGAGGGCACTCGCGCCTCCGTAAGTTACGCGGGGCGCGCACGGAGCTCCGAGGGCAAGAGCGCGGTCGTGCGAAGGCGCGCTTCCCCCGTTCTGCGACCGAGCGAGGATGAGGAGGGCGCCTTAGGTGGACTGGGTGGGCGGAACGGGCGCGCGCTTGCTCCCGACGTGCGCCTGGGAAATGGTCGTCTGTGCGGACTCGCCCGTGAAAGAGTCGTGAACTGCGGAGCGCCGGGTTTCGACAAAGATGTCCGACCTGGCAGCGCTCGCTTGTTGTCCAGGTCGGTACGGAGTGGCTGTGCGCAGGGAGGGCGGAGGCTGCGGGGTGTGGGGAAGAGGCACTCTGCACGTGCTCGCGGCTGCTCTTGATTCCTTTCTCAGAGGGGTCAGAGCAAGGTTTCAGAGCTTTAGCCGGCGGGAGCTGGCGCTCTTTCGGGGGTGATGGCGCGGGGATGCTCTGGTGTGACTTGGAACTGAAAAAGAAAGTCGTCGGCCGCGTGGAGTGAAGCCCCGGAGTCTTTGCCCCCGAATAGGGGAGCTAAAATGCCCGGGGCTGCCCTCGGCTGGACCAGGGAGCAGCGAGGCTACCTGGTGAGAAGAGCGGCACACCTTTCGTCTTTTAAAAACTGAGACCTGGGCGGAAGCCATTTCTCTGTGCCCAGCTGGGCGGAGGGTCTCCATTGTAGGAGTGATGGGATCTCTGCACATGGTCTGGGGTGCTGTTTTCTTTGCATTGGTTTTGCATCTTCCTGAGTTTAGGCACATCAGTGGTTTAATTGAACCCTCTGGGAAGCGCTGTGAGTTTTTTCCAACCAGAAGAGCGAGCAAAATGTTCCGAGCAGGAGGACAAGCTCTTACCCTCATCGCCTTGAATCCTCTGGAGCAGTCAGCCCCAGCCTTGCAGCCCTGCAGATGTTTTGGAGAACAACTCCTGTCAGCCCCGGCCAGCACAGCCCATCATCAGGGATGATGGGAGTTGTAGTCCAAAACATCCGAAATGCTTGTTGGTTTGGACAAGAGTTGCTTCCACATATGAGTTGCTACGTCAGCACCAAACCAGCCCCTCCTTAGTGTAGTTCCCCCCACCCTGAAGTCAGCAGGGTGGAATTACGACCGAAGAAATCTCAGGGCGGGGTGCTCCGCAAGCTTCCTAAATCCATTGGACTGAGATTGGGCAGATGTGTGCAGATTTCCAGGCGTAATAATCCGGAGTAGATGCCAACTGCTCCTTCACAGGCTCCCAGGAATGGAGGGCGTAGCGGTGGATTCCCAAGATCGCCCTGGGCCAGCCAATTATCCTTTTGCTACCTCACTGAGCGCTGGGTTGTGGTTAATGTGCAAGCAGGGTGCCCTGTTCCAGAGGGAACACAGCGGGTTTCTAATCCAGGTTTGCAGTTTGGAAGATGGAAGTTGTTACTGTGCGGCAATGCCTGGTGGTGGTGGTAATAATAAAAAATACTAATAATAAATGCATGGCATTTACCTGAGGTTTTACAATGTGCAAAATGCTCTGCATGCATTCAGGGTTGGCCCAGTGCAGTAGACACGCTTGCATGACAGAATTCCAGGAGTCTGGAATGAAATGGGAGAAACCCATTAAAGAGATGGATTTCCCCCAGCGCCTTGGGACCCGTCTGTGCTCCACGGTGTGTTTCATTCCCTTTTGTCACTAGAAAAGAGCCTCCAACAATCAGCTGCTTCTCCCTTCCCAAGCAGCTTAGTGGTTTCAGCAGCCTTCCACAACCTAGTGACCTCCAGATGTTTTGGACTACAACTCCCAGCATCCTCTGGCTGTGGATGCTGGGGAGAGTAGTCAAGCATTTCTGCAGGTTGCTGCGAGGTATGTCAGTGTTGATTTGGGCTTGTTGCAGATTGGGGGTTGAGGAGGAATACCAGCAAGGCTGCCATACCTGCTTAAGCAAGTCCTTGACTAGGTGTGTTTCAGAAAAAGGACTCAAACGGAAAGGTTTTTAAGCGGAAGTTGGATGGTCAGCAACGAGCGATACCGTAGCAGCAGGTTTCCTGCTTCAACAGGGGGTTGGGCTAGATGTTCCTGGAAGACCCTTCCAAATCTTGTGGACCTTGCTTCACAGCAAGAGCGCTTAGACGCAACCTCACTGCAGCTCTGCTTAAATAAGAACGCTTCCCAGTAGTCCAGATGAACTGCCGCTTGGTTTTGTCTTCAGAGAGTCAGCAGTACCCTGTGGAGAGCCAAATTATTAATGTGTGATGTTTAATTCAAGCAATTAGGATTCTTCCCGATAATGTTACGCTCTCTCTTTTCTTACGACTCTCCTCCTGATTCGTATGTATTAAGGTCGGTAGACTAATAAATTCCGATTGATTAATTGATTGATTAAGCTCTTAAATCGTTCTTTTCCTGAGTGCTCAAAGACCTTCTGGTTAATATCTCAGCAGTCCTTGAAGTAGCCTAGTAAGCGAGGAGGAAGCCGTTCGTGGCCAAGGAAAGCTGCGGTCATCCCAGCAACCCTGGCTCTCTGTGCAGCGCAAAGCTGTGCCTTTGCAAATGGCCTTTGCTCCTTTCCCCCCTCACAAGGTAGGAGAGAGCAATTCCACACATTCGCACGGCTGCCGGAATGGAACAGGGTGTATCTCACAGCTCTGAGGACCTGCAGCGGAAAGGAGATGGTGCCAGAGAACTTAAGGCAACTTAGACCCACGGGAACGTGGGTGCATGTCACTAACTAAACACAGAACCAAACCACATCCCTGCATCAGTCCAGTGGATATCAAATCCCCTTTCTTGAAACCAAGTTGCTAGTCCATTTGGCCTATGAGCTACTCAGGACTCAGATACTGGTTTCCTTTTCAGGCCAAACTACAGGTGATAATAGGAGGTCCCATTGGTTTACATTCAGATCTGCCCTACTCACATAAAAAGAGGGGGACAAGAGAGCCAGTTTTTAATGAAAAGAGCTGAATCTTTCACTGGAGTATCTCCCCAAAATGCTTTTCTCCCAGCTAAGATCACATCCAATACTGGACAAGCTGAAGGAAAATCGAAATAGAGGAAGTCTTTTAATATTTAAACCTGAAGTTTAAAAGTTTTTACTAGGCATTGTACCTGATGATGTTGATAAACAAGCAATGTATTTGATTCTACATGTAATTACTGCGGCAAGGATTGTATTTGCCCAGCATTGGAGGAGTGAAGAACCACCCACTGATGAACTGATTTTGAAAAAGATTCTGGACTGTGCTGAAATGGACAGACTGACTTTGTCTCTGAAGGAGAAAGAGGATACATACACATACTTCTTTCAAACTTGGAACTCTTTTTATTATTGGCTAGAGAAACGGGACTCTGCGTAGATTTGAATATGTTTACAGATTGCTATAAAAAAAAATAGGGGGCTGACCCAGTAGGTCTGATGTCTCTGATGATTGATGTTTTTTAGTTTCTTTTTTTTAGTTTGTGGAAAATAATAATAAAATTTACTTTAAAAAAATAGAGGAAGTCTCCTCTAACTGGCAGCAACTTGTCGGGGTCTCGCTGTCTTCTGTAGGCCAGTATGAGATACCCTGTTCTCTTTGAGAAGCCTTTGGAAATGTGTGGCAAACTTTTTGCCATCATCTGCATGATGAGCTTTTTAAAAAATCGGCAGTATTACGACTTGAACCCGGTCCTTCTGTAAGCACATGGAGTAGGGAGGATTTGGAAACCATGAATGGGGTGGGAGAAGCAAACAGAAATTATTTGTCCTCCAAGGTGAAAAAAAAACAAAACCCAGACCCTCAGTCCCTTGAGTTTGGAACACAGCCAGTTAATGGTACAGAAAATTGCGTGGTGTGGAGAAAGTGAAGTACGGAGCAAGTGGCTTTTCCCTCCTCCTCATAGTGGCACAACTGCGGGTTATCCCATGAGGCTGGCTGATGGAAGATTATCCATTTTACAGATGGAGTATGCCAGTGAAATTACATTTTCTAAATATTGCTTTCTGTTAACCCGATGCAAGAAAAGGGCTAAGTACTGGGGCTGTTAGGATAATAACTAGGTCGGCCAGGGCCCACCCCTGAGGGAAGCTAAGTTTGCATCACCCAGCATATTCCCTGACATCATGTTTAAAATAATTTTAAGTGAAGATAAAATACAGTAAATACACAGGGGATCTATGGCAGACATGTCTATTCGTTATTCATTTTTTATTCTGTCCTCCTTGCCAGAGCTTCTGGGTAACATGTTTCTCCCTACCTACCTACCTACCTATTATATTTCTATTCCACCTTTTTCTCTGAAGGAGCCCAAAGCAGTCTACTTAACTCTTCTCCTGCTCTTCTCACAACAACCCTGTAAGGTAGGCCAGTGAACTTCATGGTTGAGCAGAGACTAGACCTTGGGTTTCCCCAGTCCCAGGCCGGCACTTGAGCTGCTGATGCTCTGACCCTCCACCTTACTCATCCCCTATCCCCTTATTGCTCTTTTATCCATACAACAACCCCTTGAGGTAGGCTAGGCTGAGTGACTGATTCACTTTATCGCTATTGCTGGATGGGATCCAAGCTGCTGTCCCTTGGGGTGCAATTCTGTGCAGCCTTTTCTCTGTCCCCCACTTGCATTGGATCTGCCCCAATTCTTCCTCTGTACCCACTATACCACACTGCCTCTGCCATGCAGGATTTCCCTGGCAAACTCGGCATGGGAAGCTGCAAGTTGGGGAGCCGTGACCATGGAGCAACTGCAGGTGTTTGCCTTCACTGGCCCCAACCTGCTTTTCCCAGGTAGCAGGTGCCAAGGGGGAATGCCTGTTTCCTACATCACACCCTGCTGTGGTATAAACTTG